TCCCGCGACCTTCACCAGATCGTCCGTCCACCTAGTGGGAGGCTACGTCTTACAGACCGCGGTCGCCACTCGAGAATTTTTCTGCCCCAACGGCCATCGTCTCTACGAGCTATGTGCCCCGCCCACTGTCACTTGATTTTAGCTGACTAAGTGTACCCTTTATTTACTATAGAAAGCCTCTTACTTTTATTTCAGCAATCAACTCGACTTTTAACGAACTTACTGCCGAGCTGATAGCCTTGCTTGTAATTTAGCTGCCCACATGTCGCAAACTTCAAAAATTTGAGGGCTTTTGAAATACATAGTATATCAGGGAGTCCTTTGATGTATTCCCAGGCACGCGTCACGGCGGGTGATCACGGCACCCCGTAGGCATCGTAAGTGTAGGGTTGCCATCTAGTAACGTGTAGAGATTTCTGAGTCTTGGTTTCTTTGATATAACCAAATTTTGTAGTGGACGTCTTTTAAAGTAATCTAGCTGGTTATTTTTCTATATCCGCGTGGCTAGCTACCACCATTTTACTAACACCTGTATTCACAGACGCTGCTTGCTTATGTGGAGCAGTAAATCGAACGCACAGCGTTGAATAGAGCTCTGTGATTGGTTCGTGCGTCAGCCTGTGCGTTCACGCGTACTGTGAGACCTCATAGTAATGTTTGTGAATACTGGCGTAAGTCTGTCACCGAAACTACATTGCTATGTTTCGACAGTTGGAGGTAAGATAGCCAGTTCCCCTTTCCACTTTCAGCCAGATAATCTCTTTCCATAAGTAAGATGCAGGCCTAGACTTCATCATCATCGTCATCATGAACAGGGCATTTAGTCTCCACTGCAGGAGTATACATACCCCTCTTTATTTACCAGAAGCAAATAAGTAAATGACTCCTCACGCTAGCCATACGGGTTGAAGAAGACTTTCCCCTTGTATTTTGAAAATTTTATTTACTGGTTGTTTTCGGGGAGAAAAAGAATTCTATAGAAAAATCCTTGTTAATACAAGTTGATAGCAGCCCTATGGTGTACAGTGTCGAGCGGAAAGGGGCGATCTATCCGACAGGTGCGCACTGCGCAGTGCACAGGAAGTGGCGCTTCTAACGCATTAGATCGCGGTTATGTCTGTGGATGTGCATGTGTGTGTTCACCATAACATGAGCCGTTGGGATAGCTCCAGATGGTGGATGGTGGTAGGAATCGCCTAAATACATATAAAATCACATGAATCGCGGATGAATACCATTCGTGCGGATTTGTATGGGATTGGATTTCGAATTGAATACTCAATCGTTTATTGCAATAGTTCTTCAATACATCATAAGCAATATTCGAGGATGTGCATGGAGCAGGCCCTTGCTTTTTGTTATTTAAACAATAAATGATAATTACTTATTAGTTAATTTTCTTCGTTTCTCGTGCATTTTGTGTAGAAAATTTTGAGTTATTTTAACAAAATTGTACTTTACTTGCCCTTAAAAAGGACAATTAACAAAATTGGTTATTTTGGTGAACACCAAGTTCACCAAAATAACCAATTTTGTTAAATAAATAAATAATATTAAAATGTCTGTTTTTTTGCCAAATAAATAGATAAATCCAAATAGCCTTCGTCCAGCATTGGACGTCATTTGGCTGAAACGAACAAAAAAAACTTTTAAATCCTATCCATATTGTGACACATGACATTCCAATCTGTGTTGACTGTCCTAAATACCTATTTCCATTTTCCTAGTGCGATACTCCTATCTGTCGACGGAAGCGCGAGGCGTCGGCGGGGACAATGTTACTGGGTCGTCCAATGGTCAATGTCAACCTGTCATAATGGAGCATGTTTGACATGTGAAAAGGAGTTTGAACAAATGTTTGTAGACAAGTGAGTGTAACTGTTAGACCGATTTTGGTAGTTATTCACATGCAATTTAGAGTTATAGTTAGCAACAAAAGTCACTGATTTGGGTAAAGAGCGCGAGGTCGTGCGGGATGGCAAAAATATTCCTATGGGGCATTCGAATTCGCTGACTTGGCTGTCAAGTGGAACGCCATGATCCTAGGCCTTATAAAGTATCAGTGTGTTGTGCATTATGCACCTTACGATTTGGCTAATTATTTATTTGTGCATAAGTTGGTGTATATTTATAAGCTTTAATGTTATGAATCTAACACTTCTGTGCTTTCAGACAGCTCAAAACTCTATTAAAATTCGGGCCTAGCCATTTTAAACTTTGGTTACAACGATTGAAGTGAATTCATTATAAAATTGCTTTCGCATATGCCAATATCACGGATTAACTGGATGAAATAAATGTGGGTCCATTAGCATTTACTAACTGTGTATCGAAAATTCAATGAATAAAATTGATGTCGACTTACGTAGTATAAAATACCGATACTCTCTATCAAGGCTGTAATGCGTTAAATTACAATATTCAAACTGGTCCAATAAAAAAGTTTCATAGTATCAAGGTATTATTCAATCAATCAATCAATAAGGCAGTTATTGTGTCAGTTAATATCACATAAGGCCTATTAACAGTTCAAGTAATATTTATATTCCCGGATCAGGCGTTATTTTTCCGACACGATCTTCGTGAACTTAAACATACAGAGAGACAAGATATTACGCTGAAGGTATGTAATACAGTAAAAGATCTTAGATGTACATAAGTCCTCTATAACCTACCGATTGGCCGTACAATATTTTATTCGTATGAATAGGTACCAGTTAATTTCATTCAGTGTATAGTTAATATATAATTTTTTCCTTGATCAATGACATTCCTAACAATTCTATTATTGTCCATATGGCAGTAGGTAATAGGCTATTTGATTAAATTGTGTGTTTTAATATCAAGTCTCTCATAGGATGACTTAGATTAATAAAACCTAGATAGTCAGTGCACGAAAGGTGAGGCAGATTTTAGTAAGCCAGAATGGCTTACTCGTAAACGTCACATGAACTGTCAAAGTGAAAAATTGGTAAACACGTCCGACGACTTTTAATTAATTAAGACGGTTTGTGCTGTGAAAGGGTGTCTAAATACATCAGAAAAACTAAAGAAAGTGACCAGTGTTACATTTCATAAGTAAGTACTACGATTCGACGCGTATTTTGCTTGAATTTGGCTTTCAAAAATTAAATACGGGAATGATACCAGTAACAAGAAAATTTATTTCCCAATTGTTCGCCGTACAAATACACTTCCTTTTTTATGAAATCGAGACTTTTCAGTCGATTTTTCTTATTGTAATTAGGTAGGTACTTTGAATTCATTAAATAAGTAAGTACACGATGCGTTTTGTTTTTGTTAGTTATAAAATAATTAAAAACGTATTAAAAAATTCCCTACTTTCGGGAAAATCGCCTTCACTGTCTACACTCCCCAACAAAATTGACACTAATGACATAAGATTTTTGCCTCACTCTTGACGAAGCGTTTGTATGAAGACTATCCATCTAGGTTTTATTAATCTAAGTAGGATGATGGATTTGGATATTCATGAAAACGAAGGTTCAGTTACAAGCAGGCATTAATTTACGAGTAAGTTACAAAACCCTAGTCATAAAATTACTTTTAGTGCCAGAAGCTCTTGTTGGAGTGGCCAAATGAAGGGAGGCAGACTAAAGCCGCAATGTAGAAAGGAAAAGAAGGTTAGCTCTTGTTAAATCGTAAGGAAGAACATTATACAATTTTTACAATGGTGCGTATATTTGTACCCCCCGAGGGCCCCGACTCTAAACGTTGGAGTAGATTGTAAGGGTCACAGAACAGATATGTGGTGGTGTCTCATACAAAACGAATTTGTAATGGTAAACAATTTTGTTAACATATGTATTGCTACGTATACTTGATAGATCACCAAGACAATCTTGGATATTAATGCTTTAGTACTTTTTACACGGTTAATGACAGGGTCGAGAAATTACTTTATAATACATTATACCGCAGTAGAAAGTACGAAAGTTTAAAGCCCTGTCAACTGGGACGCAGACATATTGTCTGTCAAAAGACTTGTAACATTTTATTTCATTGTAAGATTAGCGAGTGTAATTTATGTAGCTTTGTGGTGGAGTATTTATTTTTATAGTTTTACGATATCAGGATGTGAAGTGAGACTACTGAATCTAACTATGTTATCCTGGCGAGGAATAAACCCCTGTTTGACCGGGTTTACGGTTTGTTTATTAGTTGCGGAAACACGGGCATTGAACCTGCACCAAAGATCCCTCGGTCAGCCGTTGACCTATTGGCTTTATATCATTCCGGAGAGAAATTGCGCTATTAAAATACGTTCTGTGGGAAAAGGAAAAGGATATTGTTGGTATTTCCGACATGGATTATTTGATAGTTTCCTTTCATTAATAAGGCATAGAACATTATATTTCTTAGTAAAAAACAGCCCGCAGAACTACTAATCATGATTTTTCACCAATAATCCAACGGGGTCAGGTGAGTCAAGCCAAAACCTATCTTTCCGGAAGAATATTGCTCTTCATTTGAAACTTTTGGCGACTTTGAGCCTGGATCGATAAATCGTAGTCCTAACTGGTAAATTTTAGACCTACGAAATAGCTTTCATTTATGACGGAGAGAACATTATATTCCAGTAGACGCCCAACCCAAAGATGAAATCACACAAAAACGAGTTTTGAAATTGGTCCTAACAGTGCAAAAAGAAAGAAAGAAAGAAAAATATTTTTATTTAGTCCAAACATCCTTAGACTACTTACAACAATATAATTACTTACTTATGAATAAGTCACACGCTTGTCAGTTGTTGTCGCTCAAAACACTTGAGGTCCAATGACACCATCATCATCACGATAGGACCCTAATCAATGTGCAACCTGACAATAGAAGTGACGGAGTGACTTCCATTAAAGTGCTATAAAATAAAACAAAGAAATTCTACCTTCACGCAAACAATTCCTGTAATCGTGTTAGGCTATCCCAGCAGGTACCTAACTTGTAACCGTATTCAACAGAAGTGTCTACTGTCTACCAACCTCGTCTGCAGGCTTCGAGGGCGTAATGGCCACGGTCTCGTTGAAGCAGAGACAGGCGCAGTAGTGCCGGTTCGCATCCACGTCGGTCAGTACCGACACGTAGAACCGGGGCTCGGACCGTTCTGTTGATAGCGCCCATCCTTGAGGCTGGCAGAACTGGAACAATCAAATACCATTAGGATTGTGATAGCCTTAATTTAATTAGAGTCAACTCCACAAAGATTATCTTTTTGTTTCAGTCCCATATCATCAACAGCCCATTACAATCCACTGCTGGACTATGAGCCTCCTCCGCTATAGTGGAAGGTTTTGCCACAATCTTCAAGCTTGGCAGGCGGATTGGGGATCGCATCAGTCTCATTTATACTTAAACCACTGGATTGAGCCAAACAACATTATCGTCAGGTCTAATTTAGTCTCCACTGCAGGAGCGTTCTTCTGTAATTATCAGATGGACCTGATGTTCGCGCTAATTTGTCTTTTAGTAGGTGGTGGTCCTATCAACATCATCTCTGCCATAGGACGTCCACTGCTGAACATAGGCCTCCCCCAATGCTTTCCATGTTGCCCAGTTCGTAGCGGCCTGCGTCTAGCGCCTTCCACCTTTACGATGTCGTCGGTCCACCTTGTGGGTGGACGTCACACACTGCGTTTTCCGGTGGTCCTATTCTACTATCCAATTCTAGTGAAGTTTTACATTAAGTGCTTACCCATTCTATCCCGTCGTGGAAAGGAGTGTCGTCCCAGTTCGTCTCTGGGAAGCGCTGGAGGATCACGCCGCTGCTCAGACCGCCCCCTGAAGCAATGAAAACATTTTGTAAGAAACAAACATCCATCTATAGCAGTAAGGTTCCAAATCGTTTGGCAACGTTCAATTTGCTATAGGTGCTGTAGGCAAGCTGAATCGGGCTTGAAGCAATGAAAACATTGTACTCCAAGTGATCACTAAGAGACAAACCTCCATCTAACTAAGAGGTAAAGTTCCAAATCGTATGGCCACATTCAGCTTGCTGCAGGTAATGTAGGTTGAAGCTATGAAAACATTGTACTCCAAGTGTTCATTAAGAAACAACCCTTCATCTAAGGCGTAAGGTTCCAAATGGTTTGGCAGCTTGCTATAGTTCAGCTGAAGCGGGTTTTGGGGAACAAACGGCTTATTACTAACTTTGTAGAGAGCGCTTCAAACTTTTTGTTTTCATCGCTGTTTAAGCCGAGCTGCTTGAGTGCGAACCTACTAAAATCTGAGTTGAGAACATTTTAATGAATCCATATTCATCTAACTTTATTTGGGAAGGTGCAGTAGACAGATCGCTTTAGTTTTAGCAGCACTTAACGTAATTTGACGGGACGAAGATTGGCTTTGCACAAATGAATCAAGAAAATATAAAGTCTTCGAATTCTTTTATTTTTGACAATGATAGTCGGTTTGTCACATGATAATATAATTTCTAGGTCAGTTTTGAACTTATCACGAAAAATAATAGACAGCAACATGGAAGTTCGTGCTAACTGGCTCTACATTCCAGTTAGTAAATAAATACAACGAAAAACACGTAACCCCTACCTCAAAATGAAAGCTTGAACAATTTCCCTCATACATAATTTTGTTTACGTGCACAAAGTTCACCCTACAGTAAGTAGGTACCTAATTTAATAATAATGGCCGCCCCTGTGTACTCCTGTCGACTGTGTAGCGAACCAGAACCGCTGCAAGGACAAGTAGCAAATAGCCAGGTAAATTTTACAGCAAGAAGTATAATAAATAAGGTCATACTTTATGAAGTCTTTAGTCTTTGAGTAATAGACCAAATGCAGATGATTTTCCTGCTCTCTTATACTAATATTTTAAATGCGAAAATAACTTTGTCTGTCCATTCACAATTTCACGCCTAAACCATTGAACCGATTTTAATGAAATTCGGTACAGAGATAGTTTAAGTTCCCCGTAAAAGATATAGGATAGTTTTTATCCCGGTCTTTGAAACGGGGCGACGCGTGCGATAGTTTTTCTGTGACAGGCAAAATTTCGTGTTTCAAATAGTTAGGATTTTACGATCGTATTTTTCGTGATTGCCACAGACTAATTAGCACGCGGACAAATCCAAAGGCTTTCCTTAATTTATTAATAGAGCAGTCATTATATGTATATTTGAGCAGGAAAATCACCTGTTAAGGAAGTGGTCTAATAGTTAAACTACGAGTACCTATAGGTAATGACGGGGTTCCTGATTTATGAATGGATTGAAACACCATAGATGGAATGGAACCTACGAGTTTATTCCATAGAATATGGAAAGAGGGAGTTTTCCTTGTTCGAAGAATGAAATGAATGATCACATATTAATGTTGACTTCCAGCTCCGTTACAAAGCGGGAGGCAGATGATAAGTGATCTTTTAGGCAGACCTAAAGCTTCAACCACACCAACGCGTGCCGATCGCCATCGCCGGCGCGATCATAGGCCAATGACAGCTCGTGCCACCCTTGACAGTTCGCGCGACCTGTCATGGCTGTCATTGGCCTATGATCGCGATCTGCACGCGTTGGTGTGGTTGAAGCATAAGAAACGACGATACCGTATACTTATCATTAAGGCCCTGTTTCCATCAAGGCGGAATGATATGAGAGGTGGAATTGTGTAAAGCAATCGTAATCATTTGAAAGTTCTTAACGTACGATAAAGTCAGTTAAACAAAGCGTTTGGCAGAATAATCGTACGTTATGAACTGTCAAATGATTACGATTGCTTTGCTTTACACAATTCCACCTCTGATTGGTTTTTAAAACACTTCTTCGCTCCGCGCGCTCTGTCTTGGTCGAAACTGGGCCCAAGGTCCTACGCTGTGACTATAACTTAAGATTTAATTTGAAATATTCCCAACTAGTTTAGTAACTTTCGAGAAAACTATTTAATAACATCTTGAACATTCTCATAACGAATCTAATCAATTAATCTTTAATGAGTCGTGAAAGTAGGTTTCAATTTTAGTAATTATTTTATGTTCTCGTAAAGTAAGAAGAAACATTTGAAATTGAAATATTAAACGTAAAACAGGATTGCGTGATATTAATTGCTAGTATTAATTTATAATTTTTAGGCAAGAAAACAATACTTAATTGGCAGCTAAAACATACTGAACAAGTTAATTGTGGCATTAATTAAACCAATTTGTCTAACAGAAAAAAACTTGATCTTAGTCAGTAAAAACATTTTTGTTTGATTCGATTTTCGATGTCGAACAGTAAAACGATGATCGGAACTACTAGTTCAACTATGTGTTACACTAATAACAAACTAGTACGCACAGATCGACAAATGATTGTTCCATCCATTGCACCATACTCATAGTATAGAATGTAGGATGTGGGTCGGTTATTCATTTGATGCAAATTTGAACCATTTACATTTCACGCCGAATGTATTAAGCCATTAGCACGACTGCCACTTTGACCAACCAATTTCATAAACACAGAGCAAACAGCTGACTAAATTAATTTAATTACAAGTGACTGTACAAGTTGAAATAAAATCAGTAAAATTCTGCATATTGGTCGCAGAACCTGTTCTAAGAAATATCAATACAGGTAAGGGGGCGACCATTAATTACGTGAGACAATTTTGGCTATTTTTTAACACCCCCGCCCCGCTTGGTGAGATTTCATGAGATTTTGCCAGACCCCAATTTTGATGAAATTTGGCATAGAGATAGTTTGAGTCCCGGGAAAGAACATAGGATAGTTTTTATCCCGGTTTTTGAAACAGGGACGCGCGCGATAAAGTTTTTCTGTGACAGACAAAATTCCACGCGGGCGAAGCCGCGGGCGGAAAGCTAGTTTAGAAATAACTAATAATTTTGTCTGTCACAGAAAAACTTTATCGCGCGCGTCCCTGTTTCAAAAACCGGGATAAAAACTATCCTATGTTCTTTCCCGGGACTCAAACTATCTCTATGCCAAATTTCATCAAAATCGGTTGCGAGGTTTAAGCGGGAAAGCGTAACAGACAGACAGACAGACAGACAGACAGACAGACAGACAGACAGACAGACAGACAGACAGACAGACAGAGTTACTTTCGCATTTATAATATTAGTTGGGATAGTTGGGATGGGATGAAGCCTTCTACTAACGAAATAATTTTCAAGATCCATTCCAGACATTATTATTTTTTAACATTATGATGAGTTCTTCAGACATACGAAATTTTGAAATTACTTACATTTCACCGTCTTGTTTTGCGTAAAAAGGATTTTTATAAGCGGTTTAGGCGTGTAACATAAGATACTAACAGGGTGACCTACGAACTATTGTTGGAATTGTTGTAGTTTGTAAGGTCCAATAGTTCGTAAACGACCTCCTCTTCATGGGAATTTACTATGGCGGGTCCACTTCCAGTCACGCTGTATATTAACTTACAGACTACAGTTACTTTCACGTTTATAATATTAGTAAGTACACTAAGTACTGACATGGGTTTTCCTCTTCATTCTTTGGCTTCAAATATAAACACACTTCATCCGTATCATGACCACAAAATGTCCTAATACCATAAGGCTATCTTTTGCGCATTTTCACTCAATTCACACATAATGTGGCCACAAAATTCATCATTACATCGCAGCTAGGGTTGCCAGGTCCAAAAACACGCAAGCCGGACTCTGTGCTTCATTTGGCCGGACATTTTACCCTAAAAGCCGGACATAAAAAGCCTAACAAAAGCCGGACAGGCCGTACAAGCCTATATTTTGCCGGACAAGACCGTAAAAAGCCAAACATGTACGGCTAAAGCCGGACACCTGGCAACCCTTATCGCAGCAGCTTCCAACCGGGCAGCACGTCCCTTCATTAAATATTCATTAAGCGGCCAGATTCGGAGGACAAACTTCCAGAACCGTGTCACGTACTGCGAATACCAAATACCTTTCTACGTTGGATTTTTTTCACACCACATTCGGTGGAAACGGTGGATAACGCTTTACGATTTGCATTGATAATGTTTAACTTGAGGGACTTCTAAATAACAAAAAATATTAACTTTTAACGTCAGGAGAAATGTGCTCATCAGGCAAATTTGAGAATAGAAATTATTAGGTTAAAAACATTCTACCAAAAGAAGAAAGAAGTTACAAATTACAAAAATAATGAATACTAAAATTACGACTAAGACCAACTCTGAGGAAATGATGAAAAAGTGGAAAAAACCGAAAATTGACGCTTTGTGGAATGTAATGATTGAAAGTTTGGTTATTTACAAAAGCAGATTCTGCTTGTATTCAAATGATATTGAATCATCATCATGATTGTACCTTCCTAAACATTTCCGTGATTTCTTGCCTTTTATCAACATAAGCACTTCCAGTTGAATCATCTTCATCATTGTAGCTTCCTAAGCTACCCCATGATCTCTGTCCTTCCTTTGTCACTAAGGCACTCCAAGGTTCCGTTCCACGCCTGCACTGGGATACTATTACCACAGAATAAGTAATAGTCTATTACCTGCGCAAGCGCAGCGTCCTCTAACTTGATATTCACCCGTCGGCCTTCTCGTTATGCAACGAAACGAGATCTGCGTTTTGTTTAGCTGCAAGTTGCATGCAACTGGTTGGGCGATAAGTCGGGTTTTTGTCACTCGCTGGATCGCAAGAAATGGCGTGGAGTAAATGAGACTTCTTGTACACTCTTGTAATTGATTTGAAAATTCTTATAGATTTGGACAATATTACGTAATGCTTGGGTGATAATAGATAATATCTTGATGATTATTTATTAGAGATAACTTATCAATGGATATGTCAAT